TGGTGCCTCCAGTGGTCCGATGATAATTCGCTGTAAGGCCTTGTCCTCCTCCTTTCTCCTTCTCCCACTCCAATCCAGACGATTGCATGTATAGATTCAACCAGTGCCGCGACTCAATGTCAACCGCCGACATATACACCAAAATTATTGCGGTGATATGCCGATGTACGCCTCCGTTCCGTTCTTCCCTCCTCACCGACATTTACCGCAAAAACCGTTTTGATTTGTGATCGATGATATCGTACTTCGAAACTGTGTACTAAATTTCAGAATCATTTGACGCTACGTTGAGCATCATTTTTCGAAGTGCGCAAAATTTGCATATTCGTATTACTAATATGCAAATTTTGCGCACTTCGGAAAAAGATGCTCAACGTAGCGTCAAATGAAGAATTGTACAGTGGCTTGCGCGATACAGTTTGTGGTAACTTTAGTAGGTTTGAAATAGCATTTTTATGAACGTGAAACTACGCGTAATTTTACCACTTTTGAGGCGTAGTATCCATAAAAAAGAAATATTTCTAATCTGATGCTCCTCACCACTCTTTTTCGTTTTGTAGCCGAATTGTTGCTCAACTAGGACTATTACGAACGTGAACTGCGTGAAATTTTACCACTTCTGAGACGTAATATTCGTAAAAAAGAAGTTTTTCGTCGTATCTGTAAATAAATAGCAACGCGCACCAGGCTAGCCGGTGCGATCATGCGTTTTGTGCAATTCGGCCTATCGAACGATTGCCTATTAATGATTTTCATTGTCTCGTACTTTAGTCTATGCAAAAATAGTTCAAACATAGGAAAACAGTTAAAAATTGCACGCACCAGCGCATGAAAGCTGAATTCGAAACCTTGAAGGGTGAATATCTTGATCCCGAGTTAATAGTTTACCCGCCAAAATTTTCAAGAGATTCCTGGAGCAGGTGGTTCCCGAGATAATAATTCACCCGTAAAAACTTTCACTGGCCCGTAGGTGGTACCCAAGAGCCCGGGAACGCTGAATTTGGGCAAGGTTGAGCGTGGGCAGGGGGTCATTACCCTAAAATTTCAGCCTCCTAGACTCCGTGTTTCCCGAGATATTAATTTACCCGTAAAAAACTTTCACGAGGCCGTAGGTCTTACCCGCGGACACGGGGAAGCTGAATTTTAGTTTGCGTGGTCACACGTATGTGGGGAACGTCCTCCTAAATTTCCAGCTTCCTAGCTTTTGTGGTTCTCGAGTTGAAAGTTGCGGACAAGTTGCTGCGAACACACACACACACAAACACACACAGACAACCCCGTGACAGTATGTGTTTTGTACTGCTGTTACACAGTACAAAACGCATAAAAAGAAGCTAGGTAGTGCTTAGCAACTTCTTCCTGAGGAGCTGTTAAGCACCACCTGGCTCCTTTAGCCTTCTTTTTTTAATCATATAACTGACTTTTCTCAGAGGACAAGCAGAATGAGGCCATTACTCCCTCACTGGGAACATTACTAATGCCAAGTTTAATGAAATAACAGATGGCATCCACTCATAAGCATAAGCGATTTTTATCAAGCTTATCAGCAGAAAAATAACTTTTTTAAAAATATGTGGTAAATTTTGACTTTTAAATAACGTCAGCCATGTCTGGATCATTAAAAGCAGCTTTTTTTAGCCCTCGAGGCTATTTTCGTTCAGGCCTACGTTATGTGAAAATAACCGAAGCATTTCACCCGGGTCATGTATTCGCTCTCTATGCTGCGCGGAGGCACTCGGAAATATTCCAGTGATAGTAAGGCGTTCTCCAAGCATATTTGCCGGATGAAAAGCAGGAAATGCCGACGTTTTGTTGACGCCAATCGTCCACTAAAAGTGCATTATTACAGGTTGTGCCATCTGCACATGTTGGATATCATCTCATCGCTCATGCAACCACGGACAGCAACATCCGCATTCGCCGCCTTCTGTCAATTCATCGTCCGCTAACCAGCATCTGTTATGTATCATTTATTCTTCGTCCTCCATCTACAAAGCGGGTCCTTTTGGTAGTGTTTAGAAACATGAGAGGCAGTAGTCAGGGAATTAGGAGATACAAATCACTAATACACACCGTCGCCAGTTGTTGACAAAGACAGCAACGCATACTCCCAAATGACTTTACTTTCTCGCATGGTCGTAATGATATCCTGCACGCCACTCATCTGACGAAGAGTCTGATTGTTTATATAGGGCAGTTGCTAAAACGCGGCTCGGTCTGGCTATGCAATCTGCACTCCCTTCGAGATTTTGAGTATGAAATGCGGAACCCGTGGTCGTGCGGAAGTGCTGGGTTATTTGTATAGATGAGATTTTAGAATCGTGCACAAGCATACCAGCTTGCTCTCGGCATAAAGTTTCTTGGTTAGCAACATAAATTCGTACAACCCCTTCCTCCCCTCAAAATCCGCGCTTTCTTCCTAATTCCTACCTCCAAGCAAGGACTTCAGCTCCTTTCCAATCAGTAAACCTATCCTTCCCTTTCTTACAATATCTTGAGACCTAAACCACCACTACTCGCTTTACCGTCTGTTCTCATCCCCATAATCCTTTTCCAGTAATCGTATTCGCCCAAGCCGAGTTCAAATAACTGCCTTATGTAGTGGCAAAGAGACACGCCGAGCATCCTTCGCTTCCCTCGTTTTCCACACTCAACGCTCCTTCTTAAAATTTCGTTACTAATTTTAAAATTAAAATCAGGTTGAAAATAAGAAAAAAAAAATTCAGCAGGAGCAAAAAAAAACACTAAATGAAACAGCATGTTTTGGTTTCACTAATTCGTATATATCCTTCTTTAAATCCATGCCTGGACCGAATGCAGTAGCTGCTGACTTACTTGTCACAGAAGCTGGGCCGAGAAGGAATCAAACTTGGTACAGCGTAAATTACATCGAATAAACAGAATGGCGGGTTATCAGTGCATGAAGCAGTGCAATAGTTAACTGCAAGCCGCAAATAAAACTATTGCCTGCGAGAATTTTTTGTGTATTTTAATTGCATTCTCAAGTACATGTGATGTTATAAATTTTATTTACATAACGGATTGTCCTCCCTCAAATCAATTTGCGGAAAGGGCAATGTCGCCTTGAGGACAATGGCCTCCTAAGCACTATTCCTGGAGTGATGTGGCCAAGATAGCTCCATAAAAACCCATTTTTTATGGATCCATGCACCCCTGTGTACCTCTATTTCGCCACTTTTGAATTTTCAGATTGAGCTAGTATTTAGCTGATGAATTCGCGTTCAGTGCTTTTTTTTAGAAATTAACATTTTTTCAGGATAGATTAACTTTTCGTCAAGATACAAAAGTTGTTTACTTAAATTCCTTTAGTGAAGAAGCGGTTGCATATGGCAGATGATTTAGAACAACAGGATTGCTCCAGACTTTCTTACTGTTACAGAATGGGCCGAGAGGGAATCAAACCTTTCATCTTCGCTATCTCTGAATCCTTCGAAAAGTTGCTATTCCACTACACCATCAGCCCTTGTGTTCAATCGTCACTATTTTAGACGACTTACGGCGTCTGTTGATGATGGCTTTTTTGCCCAGTTTTCAGCGAGAAATTGTAACCTTCTGGTTCTTGAGAAAAGCCTGACATGAAGAGGCCAGAAACACTACTCCACTGCGAAAGATCAAGGGTTCGAGTTCGCCAGTGAGACAAACAATCTCGTTCATTCGTTTCGATGATAAATTGGTACCGGCATGTGTGAGGATGTCAAACTCGCCCATAGCTTGCTTCTAAGCAGTTATGCAAAAGAGAAAATCATCAACAGCTTATCAACAGTATCTGCTACCCTCAAAATGCTGTCAGAAAACAAAAAAAGTCGAAAACTCTTTTATAATTTACTCGCTGTCTGAGAGATGGAGGTTCGAAATGTTTCCGAGCGCCGCCTTCACCTCTCGAGAGCGAGTGAATTATAAAGGAATTTTCGACTTTTTTTTTGTTTTCTGAGAATTTTTTCGCATTCTCGTCCCTAAATCTGAGCTACATCGACAAGGGCTCTGCACCAAAGAAGTTGCGTCGAAAATGCTTATCGGATGGATGGTCGTTGCGGATGTGATAGCTAGCAGCAAATGGTCTGCCAATGTGTCTATGTGTGTATGGCTGTGTATTCAAACATTGGCATAGGAGCTGGCTAGCGCAAAAGTACAGGAGGCGTTATGCTTTTACTGCTGCTGCTGCTCCTAGGGTAGTTGGAAACGGCCGTTCTAGCAGCCACCTGCTGCCGCTCTCGCTCGACCCTTCTTCCAAACCACTCAATTGACCTCTAGCTGA